GTGGTCAGCAGCCCCTCTGATGGAGGATTTTCCTCTAGACCTCCAGTGTGGGTGAGGAGTGTGCAGTATGTGTGCAAGAATTGTGCCACAGCCTCTGAACAGCAAGGGCACCTGCAATAGCATCTGTGCTCTGCTGGGGTAGGAAGCATCCAGCATATGTATTTCCTTCACTGTCATGGCCACTACTCACCTTAATGTAATGGGCTCTTTTGCTCAATTTCTGAATCACAATGGACCCTAGGCAAATAGATGAAGAGAAATGAAAACACATCCGCAAAAATGAAAGTAGAATGGAAATCCTGACAAACAGCTTTATCGGGACAAATCGAACCTGGGAGTTCCTTGATAGCTTCGATGCCAACCTGCAGCGCAGCAGCAAAGAAGTGATTTAGCAGTGCCTGCAGGCATGCTGGTTTAAAGTGTCTCTGTGCTGGGAGCTGCTCATCTGTGAGAAGACCATGTGAGCTGCAAGCCTGGAACTCTGCTCTGTCCCTCCAGGGAGAGGAACTGTGACTTGAAGCTTGAAGACAAGCAAAAGACCCCCAGTTTTACTAAGAACGCCTATTTTATTTTATCCTTTTTTTTTTTTTCTTCCAGATCTTTGCTCTAATGAACTTGGATGAGGCTGCCTAGTGTCTTTCCTGTTTTCCTAACTTGCTTTAGCATGACAATCTGATTCAGCTGGCACCAGGCACGAGATGGAAACCAGAAGGGTGTGGGGAACCTTTCTCCAAGATAAGTCAGATGTCTTGTCACAAAGAGAAAATAAATTCCTTAAATTTAAAACGTGTAATTAAAATGAGTCAGTAAAGAAAAAAAACAAAATGGGCAAGAGATGGATGTGTGTGTGGCAGTAGCACAGGAAGCATGGCAGTTGATGATTATGGAGGAAACTCATGTAAATCTTACTCATGTAAGGCTGTAAGGAGAAAATACTGATGGGGCAGATTAAGGCAATGAACCTGGATATACCATCCAGAAACGTTGGCACCATGCACAAGGATTTTGGTTTCCCTTTGTGCCTGGCCCTGGGACTTCTTCCTTCCCCTTCCCCTTCCCCTTCCCCTTCCCTTCCCCTTCTCTATCCCTCCCAAGCAGTTCAGGAGAGCATGGACCACCCCAATGCCCCACACAGTCCTTGCCTGTTCATATACCTGTGCTCTCCAGGCAGCGATGCTCACTGGTGGGAGTGATGGCAGGGAGGAACAGGAGGAGGTGGCCTAGGGCAAACAGAGGCAGTGGAGGATTTGTGTGAATTCAACACAGATCTCTTTGCAACACTTCCTAGTGTTGCAGTACCCTGCACAGCTCAGACCTCCTGAGATCAGCTGCAGCTCATTTCATCTGGAGTGCCCACATTTCTGTGGTGGTGATGGCACCACAAGCTCCTGCCCTCACAACAAGCCTTCAGCATTGCCCTGGTGAAACAAAGCCCTAAACCTTTGATAAAACTCTGGTTGTGGATATGGAAACACAGAATCTTGGAACAGATCAGTCTGGAAGGAGCTTAAATGATCACACTGTCCAAAAATTTCTGTGGGAAAAGAGAGCCCACATGAGATCATCTAGCACCTTGTCCAATGCCATTTTGAAAATCTCAACAAATATAGACTCTACTGCATCCGTGGGGAAGCTGATCCAGTCGCTGAATTTCTCATTGTAAAAAATTTCTTTTTTTTTTAAACAAAATGAAACCTCTTCCAGTGTGTCTTGTACCAGTTACCCCTTGTTTTCTACACATGGCTTCTAGCAAAGAGAGAGCCTCTTCTTTGTAGCCAGCTGGTAAGCACTGGGCTACTGCTATGAGTTTCCCCCTGAGCCTTCTCTCCTCCAGGATGTGAAGGTCCATCTCCTTGGCCTCAAGTTGCATTAGGAGAGGTTCAGATTGGACGTTAGGAGAAATTTCTTAGAAAGAGTGGTGAGGCAGTGGCACAGACTGCCCGGGGAGCTGATGGAGTCACCATCTCTGGAGGTGTTCAAGAGCCATGTGGATTTGGCATGGAGGGACGTGGGCAGTGGGCACAGTGGGGATGGGTCAGTGGTTGGCCTAGTTGATCTTAGAGTTGTTTTCTAGCCTTAATGATTGTATGACTCCATGATTATCCAGCTATTTGGTCATCTTTGTAGCCCTCCTTTGGATCTTCTCCTGCTGGCCACCTTCAGATCCTTGCTGTTTTGTCCATCTCCTCCTTGAATTTTGGGGACCTGAACTGTGTGAAGGAGGAGGAGGCTCTGGTTTGCAAGCTTTGTCACAGTGAGTTAATCAGAATTTATAAAGTTGCAGGTAGACAAATTGCTTTAGGAAGCTGGGAGGGCTAATTGGCTGGCGGTGACTAATCGTCGTCTGATTACAGAGTAGCAGTTGCACAGGTCTGAGTCAGAACCTGCAATTGTCAGAGCCTCATCTGAAGCCACCCTGCAAACAGAGGCTTTTCTCTCCCATTTTGACAGAGCAAAGCCCATTGTGTGATAGCGACAGGTAGCGCATCACACTTGTGAAGAGAAAATACAATTACAGTGCATTCTGAAGTAGGAGACAGGGATCAGTATACAGGAAAAGAAATAATTATATACAATGCACAACCCCTGCAAAAAGAGAGGCATTTAGGAGATTTCAGGGAGGACGGAAAGAACAGACCATCTCGATTTCATGAATTTGTCTCACATCAGCATCTACAAATGTGTTTTCAAGGGTGGAGCAAGTCTGGCTCCAGATTAAGTCTTATAAAAGAGAACGTTTACCTCCCTAGCCTGAGGCTCTACAAAGCAGCACAAAGCCACCACAGAGCTTCGTAGCACCTTCCTTTGCTCCTCCACAGTGCAGCTTCAGTGCCCATCCTTATCCTTGCTCTGTGCTGGAAGGGCTGAGGCACGACCAAGCTTTCCCCTAACACATTTATCCAGTTTCCATGCCCTACTTAAAAACTTTGGCTCTCACAGCTCACTGGGGCTGCTGGATAGGTTAAGAGCTGCACCTCAGGAATGGAAGGATCTGGATGTTTGAGAGCAATGCTGGGCTTCTCCCAGAACTTCTGCAAATGCATGAAGAGGAGATAGCTTATTCAGACATTTACTACAAAATATATTTTTCAAAATAGTTTCCTACGTGGACATTTGGGAGGAAGTTTGTTGGGAGACGTTCAAGATCCCTGTGGATGTGGCACTCAGGGACACGGCTGGTGGGCATAGTGAGGGTGGGCTGATGGTTGGACTTGGTGATCTTAGTGGTTTTCCAAGCTTAATGACATTGCCATTTTATTCGTAGATGAAAGTTTTTAATGAGTGCGTTAGCTCCTTGACATTTTTTTTAATCACACAAACTAGTCTCCACTTTGAACAAACAAATCCCTTTACAGGACCTTATTTGCAGAACTCTGTGCTTGTTATCCTAGAATTATCACCCAGGAACTCTGCAACAGCTAATGAAATTTTAATCCCTCGGTACTCAGCGCATATGTACGTAATGAATGTTCGCAGATACGTTCTACCTCTTTGTCATCCATGAGCACTGACACTCACCACAAATACGCACACATACGTGTTAGTCAGCACTGTGAGTTGTCGCTTTGGGCCATCATGAGGTGTCCACACTCCAGATGCGACTGGCAGACCCAGGGAATGAAACAAGTCAGCACTGCATCACACAGCAACAGGGCTCCCTAGCTCTCTGTGAGGCTTCTCACCAAAAGCCATTTATGTGTAGGTGCTCTCACAGAATCACAGAATCACAGAATCACAGAATCACAGAATCACCCGGGTTGGAAGGGACCTCAAGGATCATGTAGTTCCAACCCCCCTGCCTAGCAGGGCCACCAAACGTACACATTCAGATCAGGTTGCCCAGGACCCCGTCCAACCTGGCCTTGAACACGTCCAAGGACGGGGCATCCACAACCTCCCTGGGCAGCCCGTTCCAGGGCCTAACTACTCTCCTTGTAAAGAACTTCCCCCTAACATCCAACCTAAATCTTCCCTCCTTCAACTTGGATCCATTTCCCCTAGTCCTGCTGTTGTCAGCCCTTCTGAAGAGTTTACTCCCCTCCTGGGTGTAGGTTCCCTTCAGGTATTGATAGGCTGCAATGAGGTCGCCCCGCAGCCTTCTCTTCTCCAGGCTGAACAAGCCCAACTCCCTCAGCCTGTCCTCATAGGGGAGGTGCTCCAGCCCCCTGATCATCTTAGTCGCCCTCCTCTGGACCCTTTCCAAGATCTCTATGTCTTTCTCTATGTCTCTCTGTTAATAAAGAACCAGCTCTATAGCTGTTTCTTATTTTGCGTAAGTTCTGATTTTTTTGTATGAATTGGTTGCTTCTTCTACTTTCAGCCTTGAAAACATTTTTTTTATTTCATGTGTAGATACTTAAAACTTGGACATTAAAACCAGATCCGGGAACATCTTGTGCTCAGCACTGGTGAGGCTGCACCTCAAATACTGTGTTCAGTTTTGAGCCCCTCACTACAAGAATGACGTAGAGGCCCTGCAGTGTGTCCAGAGAAGGGCAATGAAGCACTGAGGGATCTGGAGCACCAGTCTGATGGGGAGCAGCTGAGGGAACTGGGATTGTTCAGTCTGGAGAAGAAGCTGCTCAGGGGAGATTTTATTGTTCTCTACAACCACCTGAATGGAGGTTTTTAAGGTGGGGGGTTGACCTCTTCTCCCAGGTACCAGTGATAGGATGAGAGGGAATGAGAGGTCCTCAAGTTGCACTGGGATATGTTCAGGTTGGACATCATGAAAAAAGTCTCAGGAAGAGCAATGAGGCAGTGGCACAGGCTGCCCAGGGTGAAGTCACCATTCCTGGAGATATTCAAGGGCCGTGTGGATGTGGCACTGAGGGACATGGGCAGTGGGCAAGGTACGGATGGGTTGACAATTAGGCTAGGTGATCTTAGTGGTGTTTTCCAACCTTAACAATTCTATGATTCTAATCTTAAAATAAATAATCTGTTTTTGACCATATCTCAGTCTTGGAGAATTCAGATAATTTCAGATTTGGAAATTCAGATAATTTATTTAGGTAATGAAGTTAATGAAGGCTGGCTTCTTGTGCATTTTGTTACACAGTCTCGTACATCCTACCAAAATAATCACAGTTCATCTTTAGCACTATCCCCCATCTCAACTTGTGCCCTTTCCTCAGTGTATCTTGCTCTCCTACTGCTGGTACCACCTGTGAGCAACATGTGCAAGGAGTGGTCTGTAAGGTTTGGGCACCAAATGACACCAACATCAGCCAAACCACTCTGAGAGCTCCCATAACCATCCTCTGAGACCTTGAGAAGGACTATAGACTCATTATTAATAAGAAAATGGCAAGCAGGTAAACATGGATGTGCTGTTCAGAACAGGAGGAACTCTCCTAACAATTTCCCTACTTTGGTATAAGTGTATCCTGGCCCATCGCATAAGACAGCAGTTTATGAAGTGAGCAGGAATTAGAGGTCAATGGATTTCACCCCTCCCGCCTTTTTCTGGAGACAAACATGAAGCAAACCTCTTGGAGCAGTTCCCCATCCTTTACAATCTGCAGAAGCTTCACGATGTGAGACAGCGCATCGTGAGACTTGCTTGCTCAGAAGATGCAAAATTGCAACCTGAAAGAGGTTTGCATCTCCAAAAAAATTCTTAAAACAATAACTTCCAAATCAGGCAGCAATAATAGGTTTTCCCACTCTGAGGCCTCTGAGGAGTTATTAAAGACAATTTTCCAGACTCATTCAAATGTCAGCTCATTACAGCCTTTGCAAATAGGAAGGCAGACCGTGGGATTTGTGTTTTTGTTATAACTATTTTTACATCAAATTTATAAAATGTAAAAAGGAGCATTAAGCCTTGTTATTCTCTTTCCTTTTTTTACTCATATATGCTCGACCTCTTCTTGAAAAGGATCATTCAAAAGCAGTCAAATAACAAAGGCTGGATGAGGACATTCCAATCCCTCCTTATCCACTTTAAAATACAATATTTCAAAGGCAATTCTGGAGTGCTTCTTTTGGCAGCTACAACCAGAGCCACAGTAGAAGCCTTTCAGTGGGTCAGCCTGATGGATGGCCTCTTACATCAATGAGCCAGCTGTCCCCATTAGGAGTGAGAATCATCTGAGCAGCCCGAGGAGACTTTAAAGGAACATTCATCACATACAGATAAAAAGGTACCCTGCACTTGTGTGGCTCATTGCAGTAGCAGATCTCAAAAGGCCTGCAGCAAGGAGGTGAGTTTTATTGTTCTGCACGGAGAAGTGGAGATAGCAAGCTCAGAAGGGGCTTGCTGAGGCTTGCTGGAAGTCCCTTGTGGTCCGACTGGAGGAGTTGGGATTCAGACACTCCAGCCCCCTCTTCTGCCTGACAACATCCTCCATCACCCCAAGGCGTCTGTTGAGTCACAATACCTATGTAAAGACATAAGCATATTTGCATTTATTTCTCCCATTCCATGGCATTTTTTCTCAAGGATGTTCAAGTGGAGATTGTGCAGGCTGGAAGCTAGTGTCCTAAAGATGAATCTGTTTGACTACCAGGGCTGCGAAGACCTCTCCAGCATCCAGAGATATGGAGATCAGGCTATTCAGCCTGTAGAAAGAAGGCTCTGGGAAGGCCTGAGAGCAACCTTGCAGTATCTAAGGGAGGGGATACAAAAAATAAGTGGACAGACTCCTTGAAGGTCTGTTGTGACAGGACAAGAGGAAATAGTTTCAAACTAAAAGAGGGGAGATTTAGATTGGACATAAGGAAGACATTTTTTACAATAAGGGTGGTGAGGCACTGGCACAGGTTACCCAGAGAGGTGCTGGATGCCCCATCCCTGGAAACATTCAAGGTCAGACTGGACAGGGCTCTGAGCAACCTGATGTAGCTGTAGGTGTCCCTGTTCACTGCAGGGTTTGGACCAGATGACCTTTAAATGTCCTTTCCAACTCAAATGATTCTATGATTCTGTGACTCTCTCCTCAGCCATCTGTCCCTGTTCTTTCTCCTCATACACTGTTCCCCACAGAGACATCCACACGTGCAGCATCCCTGTCACAAGAGTTGCTGTTGTTTTTGCTCTTCCAGATGCTCTAAGGCTGCCACTACTTCTACATCTCCCACCCATAAATGTTCATTCACAGTCCCATCACCTTTACCAAAATCCCGCCAGTTTGTTTTGCAGGTGAAAGAATATGTGTCTTTATGAGGTTTTGCCAGTCTTCATCTCCTGAGACCAGGTAGAATGGCAAAAACTGAGTTTGCTGCTGAGGGAGTGCAAGAAACTCGTCTGACTTCATATGACAAGGAAACTACTGACACAGTCCTAAGCAACTGAAAATGCCTCAGACTGGAAACTGATGCCACAGCTCTTACAAGTCCAGAGGACTTGCAGGACTTCCTGGGGCCTTGAATTCTTCAATTTCTCAGAAGTGTTGGGTTTTTAAAAGAAGTACAGTAGCAAATAAGCAGGATTACAGATTCCTGAAGCATATTTACAAACCTTTCCTGGGCTACCCAAGCTGAGCCCACTTGATGGTTCCTAGAAAATTAGGCTCCCTTAAGATTTCCTGGCTGGGTGCAGACCTAAAATTTAATTTTCTTTAATAACAGTCCCACAGAGTAATTGTTTGTGCATGCATGGACATGCTGAGATGGATGTGGTTATTTGGCTCATTTAATTGTCTTTGCGCCAGGGATCTGGCAAGAGGACCTGCTGTGTCAAGCAGCATCTAATCTCCTATAAAACCTAACACTTCTGGCACAAACACACGAGCTTCCAAGTTTTAAGCACCTTTCCTTGCCAGTACAAGAGGCGAGTGATCCTCCATGTGCCTACAAAAAGGACTGTGAGTTGCCCGCCCAGCTCCCTCCTGCCAGCTCCTCCCCATCCATCCTGCGTGCAGGACAGAGCAGTGCAGCCATTCGGCCATGTCTGCTGACCTCCTACAGACTCTGCTGGTTGTTTTGTTGTATATGAATCTCAACTTTCGCTGGTCAAATTATATATATAAAAAAAATAATAACAATAAAAGTTTTGGAAGGAAATAATGTTTCGAGGCCTGCTGATGGCAGAGAAAGTCCTGACAACGCCAGTGTTGTAACATCTAAAGGCAAATGAAATCAACTCAGAAATATGCACTTTTAGAAGAGCGTAACTTGTCAGTGACTCACAGTTCTCATACCTTATGACTTTTACGATATTGGGTCAGATTTGTGCTGAAAAACCTTTTAAGAATGTGGGATATGACATGCCCAAATAATGTACAAGGGCACCATGATGCTGCACCCCATGGCCTTAAGTTGTGCTGGAGAGGTTCAGGTTGGATATTAGGAAACATTTTTTCTCTGAAAGAGCAGTGAGGCAGTAGCACAGGCTTCCCAGGGAGTGGTGGAGTCACTGTGCCTGAAGGTGTATGAGAAAAGTGTAGATATGGCACTGAGGGATGTGGTTTAGAGCAGTCACAGGCAAGGGCTAGTTGGACTAGATTATCTTACTGGTTTTTCCAACCTTAATGATTCTGTCATTCTGTGATTCTATGAGGTCCAGCCTGGTACCTGCCTTCATGCTATCACCTCTCCTCCTCATGGCCTTAATGAGATTTTTGGAAGAAGGGAGGAGAGTTCTACCATATCTGAAACACAGAGAGAGAAAAGAAAGAAAAGATAAAAGGTATAGTTTCAAGACCCAGGTGAGTTGATTTAAATTTGAAATGTTGAAAAACACTGCCTTGTTTTCAGGCCCCTGATCCCATGGAAGACCAATGCTTTCTGTGCTGTTTGTCCAAAGCAGGTTGCTAGGCTGGTTTTCATCTTAGGCTTGCCAAAGACTTATGAGTGGGAAAGGCAAGGAACTAGTTGTCAGAAAAGGGGACAGAGCTGCTCTTTAGTCCAGCAATGGAAATGGGGATGCTGCATGGACAGGCTTAAGGCTGCTGGCCTCAATGGCTAGTTGCAATCATGGGCAGAGGATCTGGCCTTGGTCTGCAGACTCCAGAATATCCCCATACAAGGGGACATCACAGCCCTCTCCCCAGGAGAGAAACACAGGTTGGAGGGAAAATCAGTCTTTGTGCATTCTGTACTTATTTCTCCAACTTCCCAGTTAAGTCATTAGAAATAAATAAACGAATGAATGGATATCTGGAGGCTCTTCTGTTCCAGTTACGAAACCAACAGAATGCTATATTCTTCCCCACTGATGAGCATTTAAATGTTCTGTCCCCCAGCTACAGCCTGCTAATAGGGATCATAAGGCCCACTTCTGCTGCCAAGAAGAAAGCTTCAGCATTGCTTTTTTTCCAAGTCTCCATAGGCGCCTGATCTGTGTGCAAATGCTCTCTGGATTGTTTTTTTTAACACTCTGTTTTGTTAGGTTTCTCACTTCCAGATAATAATCGTACAGACTGGATGGCTGCATTGGCTGTGAAGGCAGGCGGGTCAGCAGCAGGAGATTTGGATGCTCTTCCACTGCCCCTAAGTAAAGTGGGTTGGGGAGGGAGCTACATAGCCTTCATGATCCAGCTTCATGGGTTAGGTTTTTTCTGATCTTCTTTTGTTAGTCAGAATGAATTAGCATATTAATCTCTTGTTTTACATGGCTGGTGTTAATTATTTTATTAATTGCAAGAACAAACCAAATTTCTGATCATTAATGTTGGTAGAAATCTCAGTGTGCTCAAAGACATATTTGGGAGGTTTCGTGCTACGTTTTTCAGATAAAAAACAAGTGACTACAGCAGCATTTATGCCTATTATTTTAATCCCTTACACAGCTGGAGAGTTCAGTGTCCATGGCTGTGGCCTCGTTCTCCTCTTTCCCTGCTGAAAGTTCTTCCCGTTCAGTCTGTTTTAGCTGGGACAATAAGTTCATCTATTCTAAAGGTTAATACGTTCAGTGTTTCTCTTACGTATGCAGCATTGTTACTCCGATTTCACAATCAATCAGGCACAAGAATGTGAGGTAGCTTGCCAGGAGAAGAAAGGGGATAGAGAGGAGGACACATCCCATATAATTAAAAAAAAAAAAATCATGGAAAGTAGAAAATGATGGAAAATAAATCATTAAGTGCATTCAAAAGAGCAAAGAATAGCCAGTTATTAAATGTCACCTGTAGTTCTTATATATGAGTCATATCTGAGCTCTGTCCTCTACTGTAAATAGAGGCAAAAGACATGACCTTTCATTCATGCCAACCCTTTCTATATGGTCAGGACCTGGCTCAAGCTCCTAGTGAAGCTAGGTCAGTGGGCAGAGATGCCCATTTAATGAATCCAAAGTGTGAAGGTTTATGATAGGGCCAAGGCCAAGACAATGGCTCACTGCAGAGGGATGGATGGGCCAGCTCCCTGCTGTGTCCTGTCCCCAGTTCACGAAAATGGCTGGAAATGAACCCAGAAGAGAATATGCGCTCCTGGTTTAGTGAGCTGGGAACAGGCTTTGCAAGGGATCGGGTCAGTGCTAGAGTTAATGCAAGAAGAGGAGGCTGAGAGGGTAACTGAGGGCAAGATGCCCTTGCTCTAACTTCAGCAATGGAAGAAGGCACCTCCAGAGGGCATTTTAGCATACCTTCTGTCTCTTCTGAAGCATCTGTTTTCTTCATAGATGTTAAAGTTGACCAGGTCAACCCCAATGCTCACTCTGGCTCTGCAGTGCCATTTCAGCCTGCTCATAGCAAGGGCACCCTGCTGCAGTACAGCTTTAGCTGATACCACGCACACTTCAGTAATTCTAAAATCAACCTCTTCTTCCACAACAAGGGATTTGCAGTGCAGTTATCAGTGAAAGTGGGCAGCCCAGTGCAACTGCCTCTGAGTTCAGCTACGTTCTGTCAGTATACAGTACATTGATAGGGCAGTTCTCAAGCAGAAAAAGGTGGCAGCAGCTTGATAACTTTGTGTCCTGAGCTGATATGCAGCCTGTGTGCCAAGACAAGACTGAAGGGTCTCCCGTGAGTCATGCCTGCGTGGAGAGAGAGAACGTTCTGCATGCAGATTTGTCTCTGACGCAACGACATGTCAAACCTGGCAGCACAACCATGCTGCCTGGGAGCTGGCCCCTCTCAGCACTAAATCTTGGTTCATGATCTCTGTGAAGTTGTTTTCAAGTCCCTTCAACTGAAGCTCAGTGTGGCTATGAAATGCTTCGCATACATTGGAGATGCCTGTGTGAACACGTCCTGATAGCAGAAAAAAAAGAGCCCAGTTTCAGATTCCCAGACATCCCTACTCAAAATTCAAAAAAAAAAAAAAAAAAAAAAATTTAAAAAAAGAAGAAGGAGGAAGAAGAGGTAGAGAAAGAGAAGCATGACTTTTCATTAGCAGCATGGAGACACTTTCACAGTGATTTTATTGCAGAACGAAAACCACAGCGTAGTCACTGAGTTACAACTCAACCTACTGCTAATTAAACTCTTTGGAAACC